CGGCTGATTTCCACGTTGCTCAACAGCCAACCTGCGTCCGAACCCAAGTGGGATGCCAATGAGTGGAGGCTGAACATAACACGGCTCATCGCTATCGAGGTCGTCGCCAGGAGATAACTATGGAGAAAGGGACGTCAGAAGGGTGTTTGTGTACCTTCGAATCGAAATATACTCTATACTTACTTCGAGAAGAATACGACAATGTTGATCTGCAGGGACATCACCATTTGATGACGCACGACGTTTACTTTTGAAATCTACTCACCTGAATCTCGTCCCTAAGGAATGCACCGATGGCGGTGAAACTCACAGAAACTAGGCACGACGGTTTCAGGACGGCCAGGAATTACCGGTGTAAACGGACGTACCGAAAACGACAAAAAAGAACAGTCCGCCACTGTGAAATCCCGAAGTCAGTTTGCCAAGTCCCTCCGATAATTCAGACAACTCTTACTCTCTCAAAAGTCTTTTCAAGACTGGGGCGTTTTTGAGAATCTGACGATTCTTCAACGCACGGTATGCAGTCAGAGCATAGAGGATAGTCTGGAGGACGAGAATGAGACCTCTTCATAACAAAGACCGGAAAAATCTCACATGTAATATCAATGAAGGGAGATATATCCTCCAATAATTCGGCGGACGGGACGCTCGACACCCCGGACTACCAGGAACCCTCCTCACATCTTCGTCGCTCAAGATGACCAAGTCGGCCAAAGCGATGACTGTGAACAAGATGGAAAAAAAGATCGAGCACGCGAACGCCCCAACTATTCCCCATTGAATGCGACTTTTGCTTCCGAAAAGGTGCCAAACTCGGTATACAAGCATTGCTTGAATGACCCCGATCGCAAGAATATTGAGGAGGACCGAAATCTGTATGGCTAGGCGACAACTGCGTCGTGTCAGGCTATGTTAGACTTTCGTATGATAACGCAGCACATACAACTGAGAAAGGCGTCAGTCTAGGCTCAGTGGCAGAAGAAAATCACGTACTTGGTCGGATGGCTCTTGTAGTTCGAGTGCTGTATATCAAGGCCGCTGTGAGTTCCACAGATAGGACGGAGTTTTGATAACCGCATATACTGACCGAAGAATGCAAAACTATATTTCACCGGTCAGTACAGATGGCGAGGGTAGCGGCCTGCTACTCACATCATGATCATAAAAGGAGCATATCGGTTCTATGGTCGTGCTTAGTTGGACGTGAATCGGGAGCGATGAACCCAGACGTACAAGGAAGAACAGAACTCGGGAAGTGGTCCAACGTCCCTCGGACCAGAAATATTCGACCTATAAGCCATTCAGCCTTCCGACATTTATCCTGGATGTGAATCGTACGAACCTCCTGGTCCAGAGTGATCAACCACTAGTGCGCGAATGAGCCTTAGGTCCCAATATTTTGCAGCGGACAAAAAGTGGATTCACCTCGTACACTTCGAGTTCAAAGTCAGTTCATGAAGGGCGCACGAAAAGAATCAATTATAACGCACCATAAAGACAAAAGAACGCGATTGAAATAATTCTCGCGGCCTCCACTCCCTCAATCCCCGCGATGACCTTCTGGTATGTCTCTTGGTCCATTCCGATGCGTAACAGGCTGTCTTGTCAACTCTTGCACAAACGAGACCAGAGTGCTACTCTGCGCGAAAATAACGAGAAAATAAGAAACGAGAAAAGAGATAAAGAAAGACAGTGAGGAAGGGGCCGGCCCAACAAGCGTCAATCCCAGAAAAAGAAGGAGGGAAGACGTGAGGAACCCGGCCAGCGCTCATCACGATTATGTATGTATGTCGATCCGGGGAAGGCAGCATCTCTGCGATCAAAGTGGGTCCTTGCCAACTTCCGAAAAGGTATCGCAAACCCTTCGCTTATTTCCCCTGCTGATAAAAGTATAGAAAACGACAGGGGTGGAAAGCGATTCTCTTCAAACCCGAAACGTGCGGTTATACCTGCGTAGCAACGGTGACCGGAAATTGAGTCGATGACAGCAGGGGCTGTTCAGCCTGGTGGGGAACTCCGGTCGAAACAACCCAGAAGTTAGAACCCAGTTTCTGCTTACAGTGATGGGTGCAGGCCAGTTGTGAAACTTCTATGAATGAAACGAGCTCCGCGTCTCTGTAATGCTGGCCTCTGGACGTGGTGAACATTACGACATTGCATGCAGCCAAGACTACTTGATTTCAAAAGGATTCGGCGAAAACCCTGAGATCCGCATGTCTGGCGAGGCGAGCCAAGTTTGTACCCTTTTGTAAAGTACCATCCTGGTCTCCCAGTAAGGACGTACCCTACAATGTCCGACTTTCAACAGTCATATGCACGTCGTCAACCGTGATGCGTTGACAAGGTGCTGGAGATGATAAGTTGACGGAGGTTGATGGACATGCTTGGACATGGGAAACTCGTTCATGGCCTGTCGAGGGTTCGCAACTCGCAAGCAAGATCATTAAAACGTCGTGTAAGAATACCTGTACAAACCATCGTAAATCATAACCTAGCGACTGACGTTGAGGCTACTTTCAGCTTCTGGGCCCGTCCAAGACTCCAAGGGAACCACTCACATCGCTACCAATCTGCCACCGGTGGCATCCCTCCTTCAACGGAAGGAAGCTCTCCAACTCGCGTCACTTGTACGCCTCTTTTTGATCCCCGGCACGAGGAGTACCCATCCATAGATCCCAATTCCACCAAATCGCTAGCCTGAACCCGGGGAGTACCACCCAATGTTACATCGTCTTCTTGCTCAGTTTCATGATCCTCGACGTCCACGGTGATCTCCCCTTCGCGTGCACCCTTCTTCCAGTTCAGCCGACCAATTTCGACGTTGCTGAAGATCCATCTCTCATCGTATCCGAGCCTTTCAGCGAGAGAGTGTATGTTGAGCATAAGACGAGATATGGCCACGGATGCAACGGTCGGCATCAGACTGTCAAAGGTGCACTGAGACGGTAAGTTCGGTGCTCAAAGGAGATCAGCTTACTTCGAATAGGTTGCTGATAGGTTGACCTGATTATCTATTCAATGAACAACAACCACGACCTACACCGAAAGATTTGTACGTACCGCGTGGGATTCGATGAAGAACGCGCCGATGGCACTGTAACCGACGACAGCTGTTAGATCGATCTTCTGGTTAGTGCGCCGTCATGTGCATCAAAGTTCAGTTCGACCTACCCACGATAACAAAATAAAATACTCCACCGCTAGTATGGAGTGATGATTCAGAAACCGACTTGTATGGGAGGAGTTTGTTCCACCCACTCTCGAAGGAGACGTCGCATCAAAGGCGCATCCCTGAATACTTTTGGCGTGCGGAATGCTCGAAGGCAGGTGAACACGAACAGAAGAGTATGGAGGATGAGTCCGGGAAGGAAGATTCGCCAGAAATTGCGTTGAGGTGGGACAGTGCATCCTACTCGGTTGAGACCAATTTCAGAGACGATGAGTGGGAAGGTCTGAACCGCAAATATAGCGCAGATGATGGCGGCAAGTATGAAGCTAGCGACGGCAACAGCGCGGATCGTTTTGCTATGAGGAAATAGGTGCCATATTCTGATGACCAGAACCGCTAATGAGCACCAATCAATCAAGGGGACGTGTGCATCAATTCGAGAGTTCGTACCTTGAATCGAGGAAACGGTGACCACGTCCAGCATGTAAACAGTTTTGATCGTGTTACTGCAACTTGACGGAGGTTAGTAACATCGATCGAAATCCATGTTACAAATGGAAGGCCTTACAACTGTGAGGTTTCGTGGAACGGTCAGTAAGTAAAAAGAAGGAGCATCCCAACAAGCAGCTCTCACCTGAGGAGAGAGATTTTTTCCAAAAAAGCCTATTGCGCATGAAAAGGTTTGCGACTCAGGGATCGTCGGTTGAGTGCTCTACACTTACCGTGCAATACCAATCTTTCTTGGATGTCAGCCCACGTCAATCAGTTCTGAATCCCGTACTCACATCATTACAGCCGGGGGTAGATAGCGGTTCTGTAATCTTCATTGAGCCATTCCAAGGCATCTTCAATATAGCGACCTAGCTCACGGAAAAGAACAGCGCTCTAGATATCGTCCAATCGCCCGACCAAAAGAAAGTAACCTGAAAGTATCAATTCATTCTCAATGGAGTGACACTAGTAGTAAATTCAGGCGACGTACCTCCTCGTCAAGTGTCGTCACAATATCCCAGATGTTCAGCGCAAAACAGGCAACAGCCACTTTTTTCGATATTTCCGCTCCGTTCAGAAGAGATAAAAGAGTCCCCTTGTCCGAGAGAGCATCCATTCGTACAGGTGGAGGGCATCAGTTTTAGGTATATTGAAATAGTCGCTGCAACTATATTTATACGTGGTTTTGGCAACAGATCCCGCATCCCAGCGTGAGGTGACTTTGCAGAAACCAGTGACCATAGTTGATGATATGATATGGGCGGAGACGGAGTTTGTTGATGCGCAATTGAGATTTCGTGGCTCCGGGAAGGTGGTAAGTGGACGGTGGGTTTTTGTGTGAGAAAGCCGCGGTTACCCATCTTGATTGCTCTGCTTCGAATTGATATTCCACTTGGACACAGACGGCCGGCACCACTTAAATGAGTGGGTTGCCGTAGACCTATATAGCTACCTCAGGCTAGAGCCTCAATCAATGATGCATGATGCCTAGGTCGAGTTGGAGAAGTAACGGATTGCGCATTCCACAAGCGATGATCAGGGTATCGACGTCACCGTAGATCTATTACCATTTTGACTCAGAGAAGTTTATCCAGACCCTAGTCGAGAATAAACAGAGCTTGGATGGAGGAGGTTCAACAAGAGGTCAAAGTACTAAGATCGAATAGGATCAAAGCCTGTCACCCCGCCTGTGACATATGTGACCGCCTGTGACATGCTGTGCAACTAGCGTGTGAACTTCAAGCTTCGCATCGCGAAACCTCCCTGAAAGCGATCTCAAACTCTACAAAAGCTCTTCCAACGCGTCCTGAAGCTTCAAAAAGCCAGGAATCCATCTAGATGCTGAGAGTGGGGTTCGAACCCACGCGGCAATGAGCCACGAGATACAGAAGCATAGAAACTTAAGTCACGCGCCTTAGACCACTCGGCCATCTCAGCGTGCAAATCGATTGCAAATGGGGTATTCGACCACAGTGAGGGATGTGAGCAGTCCCCCGGCCCCCCTATATACCCCTTCGGCCGCTCCGGAAGCACGGGAGGAGCACGGGGGAGGGAAAAGGTGTAAAAGCAACTGAGGAAGAAGCCACCTCTGGCGGGGTGTCTACTACTGTACGGGGAAGCCAAGGGGAATATCTACGAACTAAAGACCACCGTCAGAAACGAGGCTTCGAAGCCCAGGACGCAGGGGGAGAAGGTAGGGAGGCAGGGGGAGGCAGGGGAGTCCACTCGTCATGGGGTTTTTGGAAGTGAAGATCCGTAGGGGAAAAGGCCGCAAGGGCCCTTTGCACCGTTGCAGACAGTAGACACATACATGGTGTGTGTGGCGATCATAGAGCAACGCTCCCAGCACGGCAGGTTATTGGCATCAAGAACGAAAGGTAGGTCGAGGGTTGTCTTTGATCTTTACAGTGAAAGGCGCCGGCCACTGATGTCAGGCATAGATCAATTCGCTGATAGTAAAGGGCCATGGAATAATACACAGGATATGTTACACGGTGGAATTCATGCCGAGCATTCCATCGAGTTGAGGTATAAATAACGAACCACCGAGGGACGAACAGTGATGGGCCCTTTCCGCACAATGGTAATGAAAAAAGAGAGGAGGTTTTTCCGTCTTGCATTGATGAAAAGCACTGGCAGTCGATGTAAAGCACACATGAATTTACTAATACTAAAGTACTATGGACATGGATAATGCACAGGGTATGTTACATGGTGGAATTCGTGGGTGTTAGGGATTCCAGTAAGTTAAGGTATAAATAATGAACCACCGGGGGGACGAACGGTGTGGAGGGAGTCGGGGATGTAACGCAAATCAAGCACAAGAATAGGTCCAGGGAATAGGTTTCGGAAATCACGAAAAGCTCCATACTTTGACAGTATGATCATCGCTTCCAGATATGAGCTTGTCCTCTCCGAGGGCAATGCAGCTGACAGCACCTGCGTGACCGACCAATGTCGAGATGCATTTCCCATCTTCGCGATTCCACACCTAATGAATCAAGGAGATGTGAGTCAAATCGCCAAGACATCTTGAGAAGATGGGAACGGCATACCTTAATGGTTCGGTCATGGCTGGCACTGACCAAACGCATTTTATCAGCAGCGACTCCCCACACGCCTTCAATGTGTCCAAAGAACGTCCGGACGGTTTTCCCCGTCTCAATGTCCCACACCTTGATGGTGTTGTCCAGACTACCCGAGATGAGGACTGGTGCCTTGGATTTTGTCGTCCTTGAAAGCGTGGGGATTGTGGTGTCATGCTGCTTCCCGCTCGAAGATGATTCTGCTGAGCTTGATGGGGGTGCAGGAACGGTCATCTCCACATCGAGATCAACAATCTCAGAGCCAGAATCAGACTCCTGAGAATCGTCGGGAGGGTTCTCGTGGTTGTCAGCGAGCAACAATTTCATGCTCTGTACTTGTGCAACATGCCCCACAAAGTGTCGCACGCAAGTCCGCAGATTGAGATCCCACAGCTTGATCGACCCGTCGTCGGATGCAGAGAGCAGCATCTTGCCTGGGTCGATCTGGGGCGCCCCACATCCAGGTACATCGAAGGAGGGCGAAGGTGATTGTACAGACGACGTGCCCGCGTTGGAGTCCCATAGCTGCACAGAGTTAACCCAGTCCCTGTGTCCGCGAAGAGTGAACGCGCCTCCCGTCCGAAGGTTCCAGACTCTGATCGTCGCATCGACACTCCCGCTGGCCAACACATTCGAGTCAAAGTTAAGACAGACCACACCGTTGGTGTGTCCAGTCAACGTCCGGATACAGGTTCCCCTTCTCCAATCCCAGACCTTCAACGTGTGATCCATACTCCCCGTAATCAGCTTGCATTCGTCAAATTGTAGCGCCCTAATCGGCTCAGCGTGACCGGAGAGAGTATGTAAGACCGCACCAGTCTCAAGGTTCCAAACGCGAGCGGTGCAGTCGTAAGAGCCGGTTATAAGGATAGGGAATGCGGGATGAGATAATGTTTCGCTGTATTGTAGACACATAACGCCATCGGTGTGTCCTTTGAAGGTTCGCACCTTGCAACGCCCACGTCGCCAATTTCGTTCGATGGTCATTCGTTCGCTGTAAACGTCCTTCCATGGTCGTGTGCCATCGCCCTTCGGGGGAACCTTGGTTGTAAGAATAGAGCTTGAACACGAAGATGATGCCTCGCAGTCCGTTGCACGCGGGGATTTACCAAACTCGACATCGGGTCGAAACTCTGGCATCTTATCCGAGCGCTGGCGTTTGAGAGGAGGAGTAAACGTCCCTGAAACGTCCTCCAAAGACCGCTTCATCGATGTGAGGTCCGGTGACGGACATGGAGAGAGTGATTGAACGTATCTCCGCTTCTTCTCGAGGACGGGTAATCCCCAACCACACTTGTGACACTTGGTTCCGATATGCTGCTCGCAAATACCTCGCCATAATATGTCATCGTCGGCAAGGCTCTTCCACTTCCTCGAAACCTGAGATGCCCGGCACAGTGATGTCGCATCAAGATGACCGAGGACTTTGAGTGAAACTTCCCTTGGGAAGACTGAGAATGGGTCGATACGGATAAGATGTGCGAGCTGGTCTGTGAGAAGTGATAGTTGAGAGAAACAGCACATTGTGAGGAGGCCTTGCAGGATGAGCGCTCGCCGAGGGTGCGACGACGAGGAGAATATCGACCATATCGTGCTGACAGATTCACGCTCGCCCACGGGTAGCCTGTCTAGAGACTATTTTTCGAGTTCATTTAGTCAGAATGTCAGTCGCAGAACTGTATTAACACTGCGCACCTGTTGTAGCTTCAAATTCGTTCCCTCATCTGCCATTCGCTGATGCCGCACACAAAGCTTTCTTCCCGCAGGCGCAAAGGCTACTGAAGTCGCCTCCGTCGACTGCTGCTCCACTTTTGTTCCTTTTTCCACGACAGTACTGGATTCCATTTCGTTGTCTTCGGCCGTATGGTGAACGGGGAGAGGTTTTGAACTCTCTGGTGCGAGTCGAGGTGCTGGCAAAGTATCGCAAACGTAGGACCCTCCAGGGGGGGTATTGCCAACAGAGGTCATGATAGCGAAAATGAAGAGTGGAAGGGACGAAAGCTTATATGAGGTTTGCTTATTGACTCGCGTACCGCTTCAGCCTCGCTATTACATGAAGCGCCCAGCCAACTTGCAACTTACTCGCGCCACATGTCGCAATCCCGTCAAACTCACGTTTTTTTTTCTTCTTCAACGTTTCTTCACCTTGTTCACGCAATATGTCTTCATCTACTTGACACTTGTTTATCAACTTTACACACTTCGCATTCGTTTGTCAAGTTATATAAGTAATACGCAGAAGAGAAGTAACAGAACAGGTAGGGAATCAAAATCGCACACGACGACCACAACCATATATATAGTACGTATCTCGATAATACACGCCAGCGAGGGTCTGCGCTCAATCAAGCGTTATCTTCATCTGCTCCAGTGGTATGGGTACAAAGTTATCCAACGTGATATTTCGTGAGCTCAGTTCAGCTTCACAGTGCGGTGGAACAAGTCGTCGCATCAGGTCTGGCCTCACAGACAGTTCTAGAAGCACAAATGGTCAAGATCCGAGACGAAAATGGAGTGACAGCAAAAAAAAGGCACATACCTTCGCGAGTGAAATTAAAGAGTGGGGGGAACTCCTTTCCATTGGGCATCCGTGCTCCTTCAGCCCGCAGCTCATCGAATAGCGGGTGGACCATAGCCTCGACGGCGGACAATCGTGCTCCGGGCGTGTACTCAAGCAACTTGGCAACCAAGTCTATGGCTTCGGGGGCGGTCCGGGGGCGGAAAACCTGAGAAATGACGGAAGAAGAAGCACCAAGTTCATTGAGCCAAACTGCGTCAATAAGGCAGGTTTTTGCGCGACTTACTTTCGAGAAGGGGTGAGGTTTGATTTGAGGGAATTTGTGCTCCATATAGTTAGGGTTCATTGTCTTGATTTGTTCCCTAGAAGGGGTTCCCAGCACCTTGATGATCTCCACCAGCTGATCAATGCCGCTCTCTCCTGGAAATAGTGGTTGTCCCAGCATCAACTCTGCCATCACACATCCCGTCGACCAGATATCTGTGCGCGCAAGTTAATTAGTCAGAAACCTTGGTCAAACTGCGGCATGATATCGGAAATTGTCATACCGATGTTAGTGGTGTAGTTGGTGGCACCGAAGATGAGCTCGGGAGCTCGATAGTATCGCGAGCAGATGTAGCTAACATTCGGTTCCCCAGCGACCAGGATCTTGGCCGAGCCGAAGTCACACAACTTCAAGACCCCTGTCGCAGGATTCAACAGCAAATTCTGAGGTTTGATGTCCCGATGGCAAATGCCGACAGAGTGAATGTATGCGAGAGACCGTAAGAGCTGGTACATGTATAGCTTGATCTGCAGCATCGGCATGGGTTGCTTGAGTTTGGCATAATGGCGACTGGCGCGATAGACGGTTTCCGGCACGTATTCGAGCATCAAGTTGAGATACACCTCGTCCTTCTGTTGACAGACATCAAGATTAGTTCCGAAAAGGCCGTCGGTCAGGGTAGGGTATGGAAAAGAGCCGTGCCTTGTCCCCATTCGAGTAGAAAAACGCACGAAGGTCGACAACGTTTGGATGAGAAACCAGCCTCATAATCTGCAATTCACGGTTCTAGTTGCCAAAAAAAGGAAATATGAAAAAGGACGTGGTCAATCAACGAACAACCGAGCAACGGAAACAGGGCGACGAACTTTGAACCGTTTGTCCTGCAAAACCTTCTTGATCGCAATATCTTCATTTTCCTTTGGGGAATCCACAAGTTTTGCTTGAAAAACGACACCGAAAGAACCGTTTCCAATGATTTTGCAGTTGTTGTACGAAATCTCCCGTGTGTCACCCGACTTGCCGTCGGTGGCGACAACTTTAACAATCTTGTGGGGGTCGTCTATGGCTG